AATGTCCTAAATGCTTTCTTATTTCCCCAGCAGTAGAATGAAAAGTAGCCAGTGCCACTCTTACAAAAGTGCTAGAGTACAGCACTGCCTGTTGAACAAATTCTCACTTACTACTTCCCAGTTTTCAGCAACTTCCAAAAAAACCCTCTTCCCTACTGCTTAATGCCTCCCAAAATTGATCAGAGAGGATATACTCCAGTATATCCTTTTCTGATCTGGATTCTCCAGTGAAGGCTACAGCTCTTCAACAGCTCGTTTTTGGAATAGCAAACTGGAGAAGTACAGTATATGGTATTGTGTGGTCAGTGTATCATTCAGGTTGTGTGTCATCTGAAATACCTTTAGACTAATCTGCTATACTTTGGAATAAAGTTGATACCCTGGTAGAGATAGACACTTTATATGGTAATGGAGTAAAAAAAGAATAATTTATCAGCCTGGAGAACACAGGAAAGCTCACTCCTCTCCACAGATTCATGCATTTCCTTCTAACTTTTCACCAGCATGGACACCCTCCAAGCTGTTTCCTTGGATAGAGAGAGGGATTAAAAACCCAGTTTCTTGTGGTTGGTCTTCCAGATATGTAGACACTTCTAAGTTGTTTCAGTCAAGAAGTTATGTAGTGAATGAAAAAGTAATATACCATTTCCTTATTTCACCTACTTTTAAGCCAAAAAGCGTAGAAGCAAGTACAGAAGCGCAGAAAGCCAAGTACAGATACAGTCCTTGCTCACACAGACCTGACAGCAAATAATACATCAAGTTTTCTAATGTGGACTATAAAATTAATTATGAATGGTACTCTTAAGAAAGGTGAAGGGGAAAAACATCTTCTGTGTGAAAATTTTTGCCCTATAATGGGGCAAGGCTTTATTCCCTATTTCAAAATGGGGTGGATTGTTCTGTGAGTTCCCTCATTTCCCACTCCTCCTCCACAAGGCGGAGTCTCAAAGATATGTCTCAAAGACAAAGCACCAGCTATAGATAGAATTTTCAGATGGGGAATATACACAGACTGTTTCTGGATAGATTTGTAATATTAAAAAAAAGTCTACCCTCAATTCTATTGAAATATATCAAGTACCATCATTAAATTCCAGGTCTTCTATCTAAACAAGAGATGTTTAATAATATCCATTCCACAAATACAGTATAAAATCCAAGTATAAATGCAAATATTAGAAGTTAGTGCCATATTTAGACCAAGTTTGGTGTTTACAGAAAGAACTTTTATTTTTCTTATTTGTTTTTCATAGAATTTAGATGTTCTAAACTGAGTGAACTATAAACAGTGAAGTGATGTAGCCCTTCCAAAGACACCTGAATAAGAACACCTCACATTAACATTTGGGGATTAGGAAGAATACTCTTGTGTGTAAGTAAAACCTGAAATCCTACTCAGACATAAGGGATGTCTGTCTTTACTGAGGTAGCACGGAATGCAGATGAGAGTTTAAAACAATATAACAGATGGCAAACATCATAATGGAGATTTTATTGCCAGCTTCAAGTAGTTTTTGTCACAGAATATGCCATCAGAATCAGATTTAAAAGTGGAGAAAAAAAAAACTATTGAAGTGCGTGAAGGAGTAGAAAGAGGAGAAAGGATGTTTGAGAATTGAGAATGCAGTATAATGTCAGATTAGAGACACAGACTGATTTATTTATATGGGGATCAAACATAAAGCCTATTCCAAGCTGTTTTATCTCTATTGCATAATCTGAAGAAGAAAATAATAATTTACAGATTCAGTAGTTTGAGAAATAAAACATTTTGTAGACTTCTTTCTTCAGACAGGATGAATATCAGGTGAGATAAAAATCAAGAAAGGTTCATCTCTATATACCTTAATCACAAACACACCCTCGATATTTCTACATATTTGAGCCCTGATCTAGGAGATCTCTGACTGTAGTAAAGAAACATCTGTGCTGAAATTCAAAATCAGCAAAGACAGACAAAACACTGGTAGAGCACTTTGAAAATCAGTGGTCTTGCTAAAAATCTTATGAGAATTGTGATAGATGGCTTTGTGAACCTCAGAGGAGTGATTCCAGGATTAGCCCTTCCTCACAGAGCTATATGAAAACAGATTCAAATCAATATATAGCTGATAAGTATTTGTTGTTATTACTGTTGCATTCTGCAGGGGTTTTTGAAAAGGTAATTCATTGTGACGCATGAAAGAGTCCTGTGGGAGCTCCTGTGTTAGAGTAGAATAAACCTAGCAAATGAAGTGTCAAGACTTTATACTGCTGTTTATTTTATACATTTAAAGTACACTATCCTTTCTAGTACCATTTTTTTCAAATAACTGCACCAATTTACTATATTTTAAAAGTACTTCTGAAAGAGCAAACCAGTCAGCACAATTGTAGCACTTTGAAACATTGAATGTAATGTGGTGACTGACTGTTTGGTATGAAAACCAGATTTTTTCAAAATATATTTTAAGTACTAGCATAATGCTAGGGCTATCACTTCTGAGTCACAAATACCAAACCTCTTCATTGGCCTTCTGAAACCTAAAGGTTGTCACCACACATTTGTCAGTCTCCAGCACTAAACAAAACCAATTCTTACGTCTCTAGCCCTGAGTGTGGAAATAATTAATCTTTCACTTCAGAAGCTACATGAATTTTATGTTGGCAGAAATACATCCCCTCCCTTCCTCTGTGTTCCTTCCAAGTCTGAATATCCTACACATGTTCAAAAGGCAATGATATGGTATAAAAAAAAGAAGGCAGACGTCTCTTTGTATTTTATTTTTATATAGAGAAATGCACTAAGAAAGCTTTGCAGTTTAAAAACAAGGAGTTTAGAGTCTGACTTAGCTTTAAATTGATACCAGTTGAAACCTGAAGCTAAGAAAATTACATAAAATTATATATAAATTACATAAATATAAGACATTAAAAATAGCTTAAATTCTGATTATACTTTTTTTAGTTCTAATTTGTCACATAAAATCATAAATCTTGAGAAGATAAATTTGTCTGCTTACTAAAATGTATTTGTTTTACTTTTTTTCACTTTGAATTTAACTTTACATTCCCAAGGTCCTACTCAGATGAGTAGGACTGAGTGATGCGAAAGAAGAATGTTTCAAGCTGCTGTTTAATTTACCTTAAACATACACTTCAGTGATTTCTGAAAAAAAAAAAAAAATTCTTGGCCTATACTGTAACAAAATTCTTACTAAATGGAATGTTTTAACAGCTCTCTTGAACAGTCCACATCTGATATCCCAGAACAAAGTAGGACTCTTTCCGGTATACGTTCAAGACAACTTTTAAGGGGAATTCAAAATAATAAATATATGCCAGCAAAAATCCATAAAATCACAACAGCTGGAAGGTACTAGTAACTCAAGATTTATACACCAGTCAAAATATTGAACAGTATGGATTCATATTTTTGTTCTATTTCTTAGAAAATGTTCAAATGAGACACTATTATATGCAAGCTTCACTGTGCCTATGCCATAGCTTATAATTCTAGAAATTTATAAGACATGCAGTATAAAGAGAATATGAAGGCTAATTATAATTTTGACATTTTGAAAAGATGACACTAAATATATCAATATAAAGAAAATTCTAATGCAGTAGAAGAGGCTGAAATGAAATATACTGTTCTTGCAGTTCTTTTGTCATTTAATACTTTCTTAATAGCTCTAGTCATATTCTAAGACTATTTTACAGTCTTTCAATACCATAGAGTGTCATTATCAAATAGATATAATATACTCAGCATTCCAAAGAACATCTGGTTTTAAATATTTGATCTCTAGCTTCTTTTTTCAAAGTCAAATCTTCAAGGGCACTCCCAGGAAGTAAGTGTCCAAACTTTTTTGGAGATCTCTCAAAATCCCATCTGGAGGGCCTCTAAGTAGGACTTGAAAATGTATAGACTAAGTATCCATTCAAGAGGATCTGAGGCTGACTCTAAACTGTCTTGTTAAGGCATGCTCCAGAATGTTCAGTCTCATTTTTCCTGCTGTTCAATCAGAATTAGGCAAACATACACTACAGCTTCTCTGTGGCCACATTTTTAAATTGCCTCTTCACTATCAAGTCAGGAAGGATCTGGGGTTCTCATCTAAGCCTGAAAACACAGAGCATTCTCAAATTTAGTACGTATAGATAAATTTTGGCACTTACACCAACCTTGAATTCTTACCTGTTAGCATTGAATTTTGCAATGCAAAATGCAAAATGCAGAAAAAAAAATGCAGAAAGGCAATTTAATGCTAATCATATCTATTCCCACCTTCTCTTCCTATATTTCTACACTGGGAACAGAAATAAGAGATGTAGACAAATGTCCTGATTCACAGAAATTGTTAACTTACTTGTTTGCTCCTGATTGGAGTTCCATGCCACTGAAGTGTACAATCACATGATTTTTTTAAAGAAAATTATTATGTGTTTCAGAGACAAAAAACCCCAAAACATAAACAAACAAACAAAGAAACAAACCCAGCCACTCAAAAAAAACCAAAAAACCCCACACCAAAAGAGTAAGGAAAACAGAAAGGTGTAAGAAGCACTAGCAACATTATTGTTGAGTTCTTTAGTACATTATTTCCAATGGTTCTCTCTGAAATGCAGCTACCAGCACTAAACATCATATTTTGCCACAGTTCCATTAAAAATTAGTACAATTTCTCTTTTTAACTGCCAAATCTCTTATGTTAAAAGCAGTAACTCAAAAGGACCTGTCACTGTAATACCTATTATTTGACTAAAATACTACGTTGAAACCAGTCTTATATTATGCCAAGTATGTTTTAACATGAGTTACAATGAAACTGATACTCATACTGATACCATGCTCACAGGAATCCTACCAGTGCAGGCCTGTTTCTGTAAATCTTGGAAGCATTATGCAGGCAACTTTTCCACATCTTTTCCAAGATAATTCAGTGGTATGTGCTGGTGGAAAATATGCCAATATGCTATTTAAATGTATGAAGGAAACAGAATCATGCACTTACAGTCTGTGATTTTCAGGACTCTTTTGAATTCTCCACTTCCGGATCCTCCACAACCATCTTCATCATCACAATCACCACTTATTTGTTCATCTACACCTCCACCGCTGCCTGTTTGTTGGAGATCCCATTTATCATATTTTGGAAATGATTTGCCCTGCAACAGCTGAAGACAAGATATAGTATGCAAGTTAGTAGTACATAAGGAGAGCTTCAGTGAGTACCAAAATTTCATATATGTCTCTCTAGTAATTATCTGATTTGAAAAGGAAATTCCAGGGTCAACAGAATGAGAATTCTGATTTTTTTTTCATGTTCTTTTACCATGGCTTATAGACAGATTTAGAAGAGTGGTATCTGGAGATGTATAGTTTATTATTAATTTTATAAAAATAAAAATTGTCTGTGTCTTTATTACTATAGAAAGAAGATCAGGCAGCAATTTCTGGCCCAGAGGCCAAGTGGAATGAATAGGTATATAGAATAGTATGGTTTAGAGAGATATCTAAAGGCTATCTAGTCCAACTTCCCCTAAAATGAGAAGGGACATCTTCAACTAGACCAGGTTGCTCAGAGCCCTGTCCAACCTGAGCTTGACTATTTTCAGGGATGGGGCATCTATCAACTACCTGGGCAACCTGCTCTAGTGCTTCACCACCCTCATTATAAAAATCCTCATCCTTATGCCTGGTCTAAATCAGTCCTTCTTCAGCTTAAAATTTTTCTATCGCAACAGGCCCCACTACAAAGTTTGTCACCATCTTTCTTATAGGTACACTTAAAGCAGACAGAGAGCACCTGTGCTACAAAGCAGCTGGACCTAGATCTTTTAAGACCCACATGGTGTCTACCGAGACTTAGGGTACATTTATTATTTGGTGTGAATTTTTTGGTTTGACATGTCTGAAATAGTATGAGAGCTCTGTTGCAGCTCTGTATTGCTGAATCCAAAATATATTTGAGTGCTCTGGGTGTGTCATATTGACAGCTGGTAGAAGCTGAAGGGAAAAAAAATGTCTTGGGACAATATCAAATGTGTGACCAAGGAGAAGCACACCAAGCTAGCACAGTCAGAGACAGTGCTAGCATGGAGAGGACTATTTCCAAATTACATCCAGGCATTGTTTTGGCAGAACTAATAAAGGTGACTTAAAATAAAGCAAAGGGATAGGTGATACTGCCTAAGCAGTGTAGGTGATTTGAGTCCAGTACAGAAGCTTGTCCTCTGGCTCCCTTTTATCACCATAGAAAATGGCCAGTGATGGTCTATAAGACAACTGTTGGAGATCTCAAAGTTTAACAACACATTTCTCCATTCTTTGGGCTGTGCTGAATAATCACCTGAATAATGTTAATGTCTCTCATTTATCAAAGGTACAGCTGCTGTCATCCAGTTTTTAAATACTAGGTGGTAGGACTGTCATGCATACAAACATGCACAATATGCCCTCTTGACCATCGATATTCAGTTCAGTTTATGTGTCAGATACATATAGACATCACAATCTCTAAAGAACCAGGTTCTTACAAATGTTAAGAATTCTTATAACTTTATCTCATCCAAAATATCAGTTATTGGAGGCCTGTGCATTACACTTGCTTCAATCTAGCAGGATTTCTTTACACTGGTTTAAATTTCATTGGCTCAGATTCTTTAATTTAATAATGAGATAGTTCTTTCTCTTGAAAGTAGCTACTAATTAGTCTGAAACAGACTCAGTTGTTTTATACCTTCAAAAGTATGGTTGCTTTGTTGTTTATACTGGGTTCATATTTTCAACCAAGATATGAGTTGATTTACAGATTGAGGTGTTGCTTCCCAGACTAGTTGATCTATTAAGTGCTGTATAGTGCCCAACAAAAAAATTATTCTAATGACTACTACAACTCATAAAAATCTCAAAAGTTTTATAAAAACCACTTGCCACACTGCATAAGAGCAGGAGAATCCCACTGAGCACTGAATCAGCAGGACCCATTTATGCAGCACTTTTAATTCAAAGGTTTTATTAGGCATTTATATGCTACTTGAAAGACAAACTACCTAGCTAAGAGGAAAAGTTGTTCCTCTGTATTGCTGCCCTGTTCCCTGCTCATAGCGTAATTCACGCTATACTTCTGCCCAAATAGTATTTATGGAAACAAAACACAGACAGTTTAATGAACCACATTCAGTTAAACAGCACGCTTTTCTTATTTTTTGCCCCAGTTCAAATCATGACACATTTCCAAAGCCAGTTGTATGATAAGGCACTCTTTATCCCTGAGCTCTGTGGCTTAAATGTGGACAGGTACTTTAGTTGCTGCCAAAGTTTCCATAGTACACAATATATACACATACACATTATTTCAGCCCAAGAACATGCATCCTCCTCTATGCTCTGTATCTCAGTCTTAAAAATATATTGGCTTGATAAGGTCTTATATTTTCCTGCTTCTTTAAATTTTAGCCCAACTTAGTCATTTCTCTTTCCTCTCTTTTTTTCCCCCTTTTTGTCTTATTGTGCTTTATTAACTTAAAACTAGAAACCTGAAAACCCAGATGACCCCACTATATTCTTTTAAAGGTAGGTTTATAACTGAAAAAGTGATCTTCAATTTTTCCCAAACTTTTTATTGTACTTGAAAAAGTAGAGATTAAAGAATAAACAAGATCATTTTTTATTTGGGCTTTGTTAATCTCTTCAGTCTCCTTAATTGTACAAGAAGAAATATTGTCACCATATAAGTTCAGAAATCTCATTGCTGGTTCTCTTCTAAGCAAGACTTGGATCTAATACAAATTCTTTATTAAATGTATACAATCCATGTACTTCTTCAAAGTTAGATTGATTCACATTATAAATAAATATAAAAGGCATTTAAAAGAATTATTCTGTTATGCTGAACTTTTTATACAGTTATTATTTAAGTTGAGCACAATTACATGTTATAACTGGAGTATTTTGTATACAATTACTGAGTCTTCCAAATGAATAAGGAGGGTTACTAGCTGTGTACTCTATACCCCCCCAAAAGTACAGTGAATGTTCTTCCCATTGTGTCACAGTCTAAAATAATCTCTTTTCTTTTTAGACAAAAAAAAAATTCCATTCTACCAAATTTTTGTCTCAAAAAACCCCAACCCAAAACCCCATGAATTTATTTACTCACATACTTTTTTCTTTCAATTTCAATTAAAATAACAGCAAATATTGTTGGCAATCATGTTAGTTTGAATTATGGCAAGGATTAGTTCACCAGTGTTGGATCTTTCTCTTAATTTTGATGAAAGTTTATTGAAGTAAGATTTTGATATCTAAAACTTGTCCTCTGCTGATGGCATTTTATTGTCACAGAAAATTTGTGTGCCACTATTATGGTACATGTGCACAGATGAATGATTTGGGTGTAAGGTCCTCGGGAGTCTGCAGCTTCACACCTTGTTTATGTAGCTTTAGGAAGTTTGGCCTTCCCCCTAGATCTTTCACTGCTCAGTTGACTAAATACCCCTTGGCATTTTCACTGATGTCTTAGTGGAATGCTTCCGTTGACACAAACAGCAGTTCTGAACCAGGTTATAATATCAAAAAAAAATATCACTGATAAATTTTGTGATATTTTCTCTTTTAGAATGTAAATGTTTGCCTTACAGAAGTTACACTGTTGTAATAAAGTACTTACAGGGTTCTGTAAATACATGACTCAGTACTATGTAACATTTCGGTAAGAAAATAAACTGCTTGCAGCAAGAACAGAGGCATCTATGAGGGTCCTTGAAACTGCTCTGCAAATCTCAGAGTCTAAGCAGAACTGGGAAAATTATCACTAAAGATGTATGGTTGTTATACAGTCCTATAGGGTTTAGTAATCTTTCAAGATTATGTAAGACTTTTACTGATGATCTGGAAAGCAATATAAAAAACAAAAGGGTAATGATAAATCTTTTACTGCCACAGGAACTGGAAAACTACAAAATAACAAAGAGAAGTGACAAACTGTCTAAGAAAATATCATATCTGGCAAGTGAGGCAATCGAGTGAATTTTTAAACACATACTATAATAAAATACAGAAAAATGTAAATTTGCAAGTCTAAATATTATATTACATGCATATTAGAAGACAAAATATTCTGTTCTGTAAAATAATTGTGGGTGTCCGGGGTAGCCAGCAGACTATGAATTACTAAGAGCAGTGTTCTAGCCAAAGATTTTAATGGGATATCTTGGGGGACAGAAATAGGAATACTAAGTCAGATTAGGGTTGTTATATTACTCCTAAATCCCATTCTCATTTTCTTTGTTCAGAAAGGAAGGCACAGAAGTGAGCTCTATTACAGTGATTAAAATGGAACAAAAAAAACTTTTTTTTTAACCAAGCAGCTCATCCTGCAGTGCGTCCCAAAAAACCTGACCTCAAGAATTTTATTTAACCAGCCTTATAAACCTTGTAAGCATCTACATGACAAACACAATTTAATGGATTTGGTTGGCCAAAGCATATGAAAATAGCAACCAAATAAAAATATTTTCTTTACACATTCCTAGTTAATCAAACAAATCTATGCTATCAACTCTATACATTAAAAAAATATGCAGGTTGTTCTATATAAAAATAATTTATCAAAAATAAAGAATAATTATGAACAGTGATGGTAAGTTATGTTGGTTTTTTGTGGGGTTTTTTTTTTTTTTTTGATCAAACATTTTTTGGTCTTAAAGCATGAATTAATTCAGGAGTTCAAGGGTGGGGTATACATGAGGTTAAAGTACACCAAAATGGTCCCCTCTGCCTCTCAAAAATGCATTAGTTCATATAACTGAATATGGTTTTAATGAGAAGACTGTATTAATTTTTATTTTCTTGTGCTTGCAGGAAGTTACAAATTATTTAATTTCTGTTGTTTATCTCAACAGGCAGCTAAATATCAGATAGCCATTCACTCAGTCTCCCTCAGTGGGATAAGGGAGAGAATCAGAAAAATGGTAAAACTCAGGAGCTGAGATAAAAATAGTGTAATTGGGCATGAAAGGAAAGGAAAATAATAAGGATAAAATAATGTGCAAAACAAGCAATGCACAATCTCACCACCCATTGACTGATGACCCAAGCAAGTGGGCCACCAGGCCTTGGCCAACTGTCCCCAGATTATATTCTGAGCACGGTTTTATATGATATGGGATAT